TTACCAGTGCTAGGTAGTTCATAGCTTCAATATTAGATCACGCTACATTCTACATTTTCAAATGTTGGATATGTTTTTGTTTTCTTGCACTTTTCCCTAGGCTATTAACTTCTTGAACTTTTTCATTTGTGAAGTTGTAGCTTTGCTAAATGAGGTTACTGTGATAAAAAGCAAGTACCATGTGAAAATCAATGTGGAACAGGAAATGAGGATGATGGTGTCCTGACTCTAAGGTTTAAGAAGCTGTGTAGTGCCCCATAGGTACACATATCCCCTTAGTAAGTAATTGTGGTTAAGAATGAAATAAAACACTTCTTTCATTTTATGTCCATTATTTTTTCAAACAGCTACTAAGTTGTTAGTACATAAATAGGTATTGTTTGGCCCTAACTATCTAATAAACAGAACTGTTAGGTCTTTTTTTTTTTTTTTTGGTCCAAGAGTGTCCTGAAAAAATTGAGACTCTAAGAGTACAATGAAACAAGAAAGTTTGGGGACTTCTGGCTTGGTGCAATTGGTTGGGCCAAACCCTGAGAGCAGCCTCTGTAGAAACTAACTGGACTCCTTCCTCCTCTCTCATTGCTCAAGCCATTGTGACTAGTGACCCAGACTCCCTGGTGACATCTCTGATTGTATTACTCTCTTTTCCCACTTTAGAGGGATCCATACTAGTCCCAGTGTGAGTCTGTGTGTGTGTTGGGGAGTGGGGTGGGGAGAAGGCCTACAGACTGCCTTAGTTTTGAAGAGGTCATTTGCTGCCTCAGTTGGGAGGCTGAATATTCCTTCCCTGGATGCCCCTGGCTCCCCTTCCATGCTCCATTGGATTCTCTAGTTAAGCCATTAGATCTTCTCTCAAAAGAGCAAAATAAATGGTTCTATAGCTTTCAGCATGGACTAGCTTGCCCAGTTCCTAGCAATGGACCTCAGCAACATGGGTCTGCCTTTTTCTCTACCACTAACTGTTCTCTGGTACTTCTAAAAATTAAATGTAAGCTGCTAAATAAATAAACGATACATTTAAACTTTAAAAATTACCATGATGAGCAGCTATGGTGTAGTAGAAAGAACAGGGGGTTTGCAATCAGAGGCCCCGAGTTCAAATTCCATCTCTGATGCTTACTGTGTACTTGGGGAAATCACTTAACCTTCCTGGGCCTCAGTTTCCTCATCTGTAAAATGAGTGGGTCAGGCCTCTGAGGACCCTTCCAATTCTAGAATTATAATTCTATGAATAAAATTTGATGGGGGAAGAAAAAAAGCCTTTTGAGATGTTGGAAAGGCTTTTTAAAAGTTTACCATAATGCAAATTTTCCTCCTACTCAAAGAGCAGGCAGCAAAGTGACAAAACTCTTACCATCTTTTTTTTTCCCTTCTCCTTAAGCTGGAGGTGACAAAGTAGTACAGGCAGGGGCCAGTCCATTGCAATAACTTTATTGGCAAGACATCATACAAGAGTGCTGTTGCCAAAGTTAACACATTAAATGCGGCTGGCTAGAACTGGACTGAGTTTGTATAGAGATTACTGGAAAAATGGCCCATAACACTGTCATAAGCAAATACCTTTACCAAAAAAAAATTTATCTCTTAGACAACTTCAGCATTGGGCAGCTTTAAAATTCAAGGACTATACACACACATATGTATATGAATGGATGTATATGTATATATGTATGTATACATCCATCCATATAGATATATATTTTTGACAAATGGTTTATATATCAATTCTGATATTCAAGATTGGTTAATAAGCCACTCTTAAAATTCTTTTAAGAGCAAACAAGTTGTTTGGTTTTTTTTTTTTTTAAAGCAGCTATCTACACAACTACCTAAGATGACTTAGGCATCTCAATTAGAGATAATTTTGAAACTAGGAGATAATTTAAAAACCTTTAAGGTTTTTGGTGATTTGGTTTATTCAAAACCTAAAAGATTAACTTCAATTTTTTCATCCATAAACTCCCATTTTAAAAGAATAATGGAGAATTGCTTTACAAGAAAAAACAAAGAAACAGTGACCTGGAAAGAAGAAAGATGTTTATACTTTCATATTGGGTCAGAAACTTGTTGAAAAAAAAGTTTCTATTTATTACAACTATGAAGATCCCCAAATTAAGGTTGCTTTAAAGGTAAAAGCACAATTATGAGTACATATGGGTCAAATTTGAAAAGAACAATTAAAAATGTGTGATCAACATGATTATATTTTACAAAATTACTTAGTGTAACGGTTTCGTCAAAATACGAGGCTAGGAAGCTGTCATTTTACTCTCATTATAGTGGTTTGAAGAGGCAATACCACTTTGTTTGACATGATACAGGCAGTATGATATATGTTTCAGAGTCCTGGACAGTGAGTTGTTAACCTGCATCTAGCCCAGGTGAGGAGAGGGATGAGCTCTGTGACTCTGGGTAAGTCATTTCACTTCTCTGGGTCTCAGTTTCCTCATCTATAAAATGAAAGCGTTGGATGACATAAGTGGTGTCAAACACATGGCTGGCTATGAATAATTGGGAAATATTTAACAAAATAAATGGAAATTCCACAGAACATAGATGTTATGTGGTTTCCTGAGTCAATATGAGGGTCAGCAGGGATCTGTTTCTATTTGAGTCTGACATCCCTGAACTAGATGATCTTTAAGGTGGTCTGGAGCCAGGAAGGCCTGGCTTCCAATCTTACCATAGATGCATAACCATTTGGCCCTAGGTAAGTCAATTAACCTCTATGTGCCTCAGTTGTCTTATCTTTATCAACTGGGGGTTGCACTCCATTACTTCTAAGGTCACTTCCAGCTCTAAGTCCTATAGTGTCAGTGACATTTTTGACCTTTGTCTCACTGTAGAAGTCTGTCATTTCTAATAGAGGGTATAAAACATCCCACATTGAGATCTGGATTAACGTCATTCAAAAAGTGCCATAAACTATCAGAAAAGTGCATATATTCAATTAAGACACAGCAGATGTGTAGTGGAGAAGCAGCACTGGGTGTAGACAGGGAGCTGGTCTTGGATTCAAGCCCTGCCTCTGGCACACTGGCTATGACTGGGAAAGTCACTCAGCCACTCAAGCCTGGTCAGGGGTGGTCAAGTTCCCCACCTAGAGCTTTCTATACTGACAACATCATAGATCTGGTTCATTAAAATTAGAAATAAATTCAAAATGTACAAATGTGTAATTAAGGCTATCTTCCCAAGAATCTCATTTCATATTTTATATGAAAACCCCATTCTAAATATTAAAGGCCCTAGTCTTATGGCAAATAGAAGTGCTTTAAAAAAGGGAGGGGGCTTCTGTGTGAGGTAGTGAATTCTCCATTAATGGAAGTACTCAGGCAGAGGTTCTCTAGGAGGGGGAAAAGGGAGGGATATATTGGGGAAATTAGGTAACATAAAGCAGAAGATATCAATAAAATATATTTTTAAAATGGTTTATTTAGTGCCATAAGCAGATCTAAATCTTTTATTTTTGCCAGTTCTCTTTAAATGAAGGTATGGAAGCTGTGAAGTGAAGAATCAAACTTTTATGGGTCTAACTAACTTCTCAGAATATTTGGAGCACTTAATTGATTGGATTAACAACTTCATTTGCCCCCTCTCCTCCTAATTGAACATACCAGGCTTGTTTTGAAGCTTATATCTCAGGACCTTAAACAACTTGTGGAAGGAAGATAAGTTGAAGTTAACAAAAGGAGACTGCTATTTTGGTGAAACGTGGCTTTTTTGTGCTGCCTTTGTGTCTCCCTTAGTCTTCAGATGACTTTTCTTTTTTTAAACTCTGTGGATAAACTTAAGATGACTCTTAAAAGGACTCAGCTGTTCTTTCAGTGTTTTTCCTGTAGTGGGCCCAGTGCTCAGAAGAACAAAGTATATGGCTGTTCCAGTACTATTCAAAATTCATAAAGCTTTCTAGGATTGAAATAAACATGGCATGTCCTCCACAAATGTTTTAGTGTAGATCAGAATAAAATCAAGAGGAATGTTTTTGTGCCTTGAAAGCCTAAAAAACAAACTGAGTATCCATATAGTGGCAATCCTAGAATCTGAATAAATGTTTTTGTGAATCTAATAAGTTTATGATATGACTAAACTCTTGCCTTAAGCTGGCTAAATAAGCATATATTCAAGATACATGCATACCATTACAAAATTTCTTTATAAATAAAAAATATTATACAGTAATTACAACAGACAGGAGACACATGAAAACATTCTAACAATTAAGTATACTACTTATTATGCAGGGGTTGGGAGAAAGTCTCTTTAGGCAAAAATGGCATTCACTAAGAATGTAAATGCCTTAAATACAAAACATCTGAACCATATAGGTTTCCATGAAATGCCATCCTATTTAATTATTGGGCCACCAATACAAATACTCTACTTCTTACAAAGATATATTTTTTCAGTTCCAAGACTGAAATATCAGTCTTTTATAATAGTGAGATAAGGGAGGAGGAAATATTTTAGTTCTTAGATTTGTAATGATTGCATTAGAAAAGACTCCTATCTAGGTTTCTTTAAATCAATAAGCAGTATCAACAAACCTTGGAGGGAGGATGTTGAGAGTTTAGAAACTCAGCCACATCCCTCTCAATGTAACTGTGGCAGGACCACTGTTTGCATGAATTCCTTCACTGGATGTTAATCCAATGCAAAAGTTACAGAGTAACAAAGGACAGCATACAGCTGTGTGTATGAGAATAGTTACATTAGCAAAAAGATACTTGTTGGTACATAATGAGTCCAGAATTCATATGAATCTTTTGAACTAGACAGAAAACAGATGCAGTTTATTGCAGTATGAAATAAATCATCTGAGTTTCTAATTCCAGCATGGAATACCCCTGTATAAAAATATTGGTTTCCTTAACTAGATTTCTAAAAGAGTCGAAATATAATGACAACTACACACTTTTTGAAGCAAAACTATAAGATTTCTATATTAAGATTCTTTTATTTTACCAAAGAAGAAGTAAATTTAAAAAATTAATCCACAATTCTAATTCCAAACAGACCTCAGGTTTTTTTCTAGCAAGTATTCTAAAATTTCAATTCTGCTACCATTCAAATAATCCAGAGGGGCTAAAAAAGCAAATGCTTCTTGATAGTCCCATAACCAGTACTTAGATGCTGGAATAAGTAACTCAGAACAATTTCTCTCTCCTATTCCTGCTTCCCAGTAGCAAGAATCCTTACTGGCTTAGTTGGACAGAAGCTTTTATTGTTGCAAAGAGGCACACAGTAGCCATGGTTTAGCAATACAGTCAATCTATTTTGCCACCCCAAAGTTTTAAGTTTAATCAAAACTAAAAGCTCTTGGTTGTTTTTTTTTTCACGCTGACTTCTAACATCTTGTCAAATACATTTATAATTCCATGCAAAAAAGCTACCTAAAAATTAGTGAATCCAAGTTGACAGATCCTTCAAAAGTGAGGGGTCAAAGGAAAGGAATATTTTGAGTGAAATGTATTTCCTTAATTTAAATTGCCAAGAAAAATATTAAAATGAGAATCTCATTCAATACTTTTCAAAATAAGATACTGAAGGTATTAAAAGCAAAGCGAAAATGCCTAAAACAAATACATACTGATTCCTTCACCAAAACCATCATTCATTTGTTAGCTGCATCCTCAATCTCAGCTCATTAATAAATCAGAACAGTGGGTGGCTTTTAATGAAAGATCAAGTGAGATGAACTGAGTGGCTATCAATTACTTACAACAAGGAAAAGTCACCAGAGAAGGAAAGAACAAGAAATATGTAAGATGAAGAATGTTTTTTGTACTTTTAGTACCAGACTTAAATAAAATTGCATTTAACTATAAAGAAACATTCCACTGAATATATACCTACATAAGCATATATGTATAGAGAGATTCCTTTAAAGTAGTGATATATTAAAATGTTAGAACAATTCTTTTTTTTAAATTGAAAATATAATTTACACTTTGATAATGCTATGTGAATTAAAAACCACAGAAATGTGAGAATTGCAATAAGGCATCTTAGACATCTTGAACTCATGTATGTTTGTATCATGTAGTTTTGACTCATACCTGAGATACACAGATAACTCTACCATACATCATTACTATGATTTTAAATGCATGCCATGAGAGAAAAAATAGAAGAATGGAAGCTTAAATATCTGGGGAAACTATCTAAAAACTTCTTCAAATTAGCTCAATGTAATAGTTTTCTAAAGAATGGTCATGAAATAATAACATAACAGAGTTGGGACATTGATGCTATGACGTTGCTTAAACAAACAAACCCACCCCCAAACCAAGTAAATGATCCAGATTCTAGTCATCAAGCTAGATGGAAAAAAAAAAAGAACAGTCGATTGTTTATGTTTATAAATGAAGAGTTCTGAAGATCCAAGGTCAAATGATTTTTTTCAAAGGAGTGTAATTTTTTTTTTTAGTATGTTTAACTAAGTGTGGAAAATACCTCAAAAACCAACAGAAACCTGTACAGGTGCATTTTCAATGGAAAAATCATTTTCCAATTTTATTTTCTTATATTATTAGTGAACTTTAAAGTAATGACCTCATTGTATTTCAAGTGTAAATCACGTAAACATTGTGTAGCATGTGGCAAAAAAAAAAAAAAATTAAATAGGAAATGCACTGACCAACAATGCCAGTGGCTTTGTATTTCAGGTCATAAATATAACCAAATGTGCAATACAACACAAACATGATGATAAAAAGCACTCCTTACAATTAACAAATTCTAGTTCGTATGATTAAAAAAAATATTAAACTGCATTTAGTGCAACATTCTATTATATCGTACATCATATACCATGCTTTGGAAACTTACCGCACTACAGTATATACAGGCAGGATACAGCAAAATGTTTAAATGAAAAGTGAAAGGGAAAATGTAGGACAGAAAATTTTTACATCTATGTATACATCTAATTGTATTGTCCATTGAATTAGATTTATTATAGAATCTGCTGTGCCATATTGACTATCTTGCATAACACCTTGAAGTACTTTTATTTTTCCCCCAGCAATGGTCTACTTCAGACACAGAGTAGAAAGATCGTGATAAAAATGGCAGAACCTTGAAGCTTCATCAGTTGCTTCCCAAATATCATTTGTATATAGAGCTAGAAAACATTAAGAACAAAACAAATCATGACTATGCATTTTAAAACAGATTTTGGTTAGCATGTGACTCGTAGTAAGAACTGAAAGAAACAGTTTGTTAGCAACAGGAAAGAAAAAAGGGAAAGCTTTTGATTAAAAAAAATATGATTTCCATTTAAAACTACATAAACGAGGTTTCTTTTTGCTAAAGAGATTTGATCTTATCAGATTTTCATTGGCCCATGAAAGATAAAATAAATTTGTGCTTTACCAATGATTGCAATACTACCAATTGGCTTAAGTAGATTTTTTCAGAAGAACCTATGACTTGGAATTAAAACATAAAGATTCACTGTTTAATGAAAATCACAAAAAAACAAACAAACCACCACCAACAAAGTTTTTGTATATTATGTAAGTGGAGAATATTTGAGGATGCTTATTTTAAAAACATAAAATGTTAATGGTACATTTCCAGGACAAAGCATAAAGGAAGATTTCCCCCCTCTTTTTTCACTTAGGGAAACAGAAATAAACAGGTAGATAAATTTCCCACACATTTACAACATATTTCTATCAGAATGGGATCACAGTATCACAGGTACAGAGCTGGAAAGGATCTCAGAGGTCACTTAGTTTGATCCCTTCATTCAAAAGCAGAGGAAGGTGAGGTGCAGTTGAAATAACTGGCTGAAGGTAGTAAGTGGCAGAGGTGGGATTCCCTGAGGGCCTCTGGCACCAAGCTCTCTACCACATGACCCCTTCTTTTTTACAACTTAGCAACTTTTAAAAGTCATAACATACTCATAAGCAGTAAACTATGTAAAGAGCTATGTAGCTTGCAAACAGATTAAACATCGAAAGAGGAGCAAAGCTATCTTCTTGCCAAAACCTACCTTAGGTTTTTATAGTGTGCAAAATTTTAACAGCCGCACTCCTGAGCACTTTGGGCTTGTGCGCGACGTGGTGATCTAAGCTGTCTTAAGGCAGCATCTCCATATTGAATACCTGAGCCCATTCTTTCTGGATCCAGTTCACCTGGGGATCAACCAACACTTGTTGGAAAAATGCTTCAAAACTTAATTTATCTGTATCTTAATAGTGCAGATACAAAGCAACATAGTCCCTCATATACTTTATAAACTATGAAGAGTTGGGAGGAATTGTGCACACAAATAATTATTATACAAATCAGAATATGACTAAATGCATAGGGGTGGGATCAAATATAATGACATAAAAGAGTCCAGGAGGAAAGGATCATTTCTAGTTGGTGGGAGAAGAGAGAATAATTTAGGGAAGGCTTTATAGAAAAGGTGTTGTCTGAGCTAGGCTGTGAAAGAATAAAAGGATTTCAACAGGCACCGATGTGAGGGGAGTCCATTCCAAGCAGGGGAAGCAATATGCGGAAATATATGGTGGTGGGAGAGAGTGGGATGATATCAAAGAATGACAAGTGGTCCAAATTTTGCTATAGTGCTACTCTGAAAGGAGGAAAAAACTGGAGGCAAATTGTGGAGAGCCTTGAATGCCAGTTTAAGGAGGCTCTATTTTACTTCCCAGCCAATGGAGAGCCATTGAAGATTTTTGAGGAACTTGAAATGATGAGACCTGTATATTAGAAAGATTATTTTAGCAACTATAACAAGGATGGACTAGAGAGGGAAGGAATTGGAGGCAAAGAGACCAGTTAACAAACAATTGCAAAAGCCTAGGCGAGAGGTAATTTCGTCTTGAAATAGTTATGGTATCGACAATGGGAGTGGAAATTAGTGCCAGATACAAGACGCATCACTGAAGTAGAACCAATAGGATTCTATGGCAATTGATTAGACAGGGGTCAAAGAGAAGGAGGAAGGGAAGCAAGGAGAGATGGAGATGGATTGAGGGGAAAAAAGAGGGGAAGAGGGGGAGAGAGAATGACTGATGGAGCAAGGTCTCTGAAATAAAAGGAATATGGTAATGGTAGATTATGTTTCTGTAATGACTTACCCACTTAACATCTTATCAGTAATACTTAAGAACCCCAGATTTTATCTTTACATTTACATACAGAGGTGATATCAAAATTCTATTTAATATTCCAGAAGGAATTAATTTTCAGAGGTGTCTTATGAGATAACAAACACATCATCTAAGGATAGACTAGAAAAGCAATAAAATATCCTATACAAAATTTCATGCTATGTGTTCAAAGTCATTTAGCATTAAACTAAGATTTAAAATACATTGCACACTAATACCATTAACTCTATAAATTTCTGGTTTTAATTACAAAAGCTGAATGCATATATAAACATACATATATAATACATACATACATACATATATATGTGTGATTTTAATTACAAAAGCTGAATAGGAAATTATTCAAAAGTGCTAGTTTAAAAGAGAATCATGCTTTTATGGAAAATGAATACAGATTCAGTAGGCTGAATCTGAATTATTTTTAATTTGATTTGACTGAAGCAACAAATAGTGACCAATAAGTTAGTTTACAACACAGGCAGTGTAGCCTTACAGGTCAGAAATTAGACCTGATGTAATATATCTATATCTATCTGTACCTATACACACCCATACACACACACTCACACATATATGCAGAATGGCCTCCAGTTAGAAACTGTTGCAATCATACAGGCTATACAACTTCTTGACTATTAAACAAAAGGGTTTCCTGACATTGTTTCCTGCCATAAAATTGCCGTATATGGCTAGTTTTAATAGAATCAGTCCTAATGAGAGAAGAATACAGAAAGTTATTTTCTTCTTCTATCCAACAAATCCAAGAAAAGCTCTGATTGAAGTAAAAAAAAGACAAACAAAAAAGAAACCCAAAGATTTTCATGACCTACAGTGCCATTACTTTATTTTTTAATTTTAAAGTTAAATAAATATTTTTCCAGTGAACAAAATTTTATTTCCTACCTTCCTATGCCCTGCTGGAAAAAAAGAGAAAGAAAAATAAAACCCTTATAAGAGGGCTACATAATCAAACTAACAAATTCCCATATCAGCCATGTCCAAAACATATTTCATTCTGCACCCTGAATCCATCACCTATCTGGAGGCGGGTAGTATAACGCTGTTCTTTTGCTACTAGCATTACTAATCTCCACAGTTGAATTATCCTCTCTTTACCATAACTGAAGGCTAAAGCATCTACTATAAGAACAGAACAGTTATTGGGATCAAAACCTTACCCATTTAACCAACTAATGGCGATTTTTGTTTGACACCCTAGGTGAATATGGTTTGCCTAAATTTCTCCTGAAAATACTGATAAGTAATACTTGTCATGTAATATATATGTATGATATATACATACATATAACACATATATACACAACAATAAATAACTTTGTAAGGAGAGAGTATAGAGCCAAATTTATCAAACATTTTACTAACAGTAAATTTTTTACCTGATTCAATTTTATTGAGTATTTTTCTTGCACACTGGACAAAGGCTTCTTCTACATTCTCCCCTGTTAGCGCGCTTGTTTCTAAAAACATAAGCTCTATATTTGATGTAACAGAAACAAAACACAAACCCCAAATTAGAATAATGACAGTTGCTGAGCCACTATCAAATCTGTATGTGATATTCTCTTAAAAAGAACAACAGAATGGTAATTTTTGGCCTAACACTTAGATTGTTCAAGCATAAAAATACTTCGGTGAAATTTACATTTCTTTGCTGTTTTATTGTTAACATAAAAATCACTATCACCTTAGGTTAGCACATACGAGTTTGTTGACAAAATTGTCTAACAAGTAATACTAGTTTCACAGTCTGGCCCACCCGAAGTTACTAAGCAACAACATGGTCAAAATTACCAAATAACTTCACTTGTCTAATGTAAACTTATTTTTCCTTTAGGTCTCGTATAAGACAATGCTGAAAGCAGAGTTAGATAATAACAGTTTCTATTTTAAAGTTATACTTTTCATAGATACATTATTTCACCATTAAAGGTTGTTTCAAAGGCATTCTCATTTATTCTGTTTGTAGTCAGTAGATCGTAAAAAGAAACATACTTGGTGTGGTGGATTTGGAGTCAAAGGACCTAGTTCAAATTGTTAATCTGCCATTATACTATCTAGTGTGATCTTGGGTAAGTTAACTACTCTGGGCCTCAGTTTTCTCACCTGCAAAATGGGGCTGGGTTAATCAATCCCTAAGGTCTCTTCCAGTTCTAAAGCTATCACCCTATGACTTCAATTAGAAAAGAAATCAAGCACACACACCTATCATTTCCCATATACTGCTTTACTTTTCACTTACTTTTAGTTTATTATTTATCATCATCATCATCATCATCACCATCACCAACTTGCTTCATATGTCCCTATACTATGTGGTGAAGATCCTATTGCCAGGCTAGATAATCTAGTCCTAACCCTGAACCAAATGGCCAAGGGTTGGGGAGAGGTGAGGTTTTTTTCCCTCTTTACCCATCATTCACCATTGGTTTCAATGTTTGCTTCAGCTGATGTAGAATGTTTCACAGCTCAAATATTAAAGGACCCCAGGATGAGATGTGCAGCAGGAAGAGTAAGGAGGGGTTGCTGGTATGACCTGGAAATGAGTATGCTGAGGTCCTGAAGTATATCCTTGTCATAAATTAGTACATAGGATCTAATATCTAAGAAGAGGGCTAGGTTGGATATCTAATTCTTCTCATCTTCTTTCTTCGTATTCTTTTCTTAACCTTGTCAGGGAAGGTTATATGACCACCACCTTACCTACCACCTCCCTTTAAACTCCGATAGAGAAAGCCGAGGACCCGGAGCCCAAGAAACCTGGGGAGAACAGACCAGCAGCCCTGTGTAGTCACCACTGAGACTGGACCCATGATCATTCTTGTCACCACCAATACCAACTGCTGACCAACTGTCAATGACCAGCAGATAAGTCTAAGAATCTTGGAAACAGCTGTGTCCCCAGAGCACTGGGTGCATTCAGGGAATTAACCCTTGTGGAGATGTTCACTGAGTAGCTGCTTCATTCTGGGTTTCAGCTTATGTCTCCTAAGCAGCCACAGATACTAGAGACATGGAGAAGAAAGCTATTGTCCTGTCAGATGATTCAGCCCCAGGAAGGGATATGGCTCATCACTGAGAATAACATTTGATGCGTTACCACTTGCTCTGCTGCTGTACCATAAACACAACGGGGGCCTTTTCATCTGATTTACAGCTGATACCCCCCTCTATGTGTTGTCTTTCTCTATTAGAATGGGAGCTCCTTGAGAGCAGGGCCTGGCTTATTTTTCCATTTCTGCTCCCAGTGCTTATGATTTTTTGTTTGTTTGTTTTTGAGACCAGGGCTCCCTATCTCTCCCAGGCTGAAAACGCAGAGGTCACACAGAAGCCCAACTCTACTAGCAACTGGGAAGGAAGCTTTGACTTGCTCCATTTTGGACCTGGGCCAGTTCATTGCTCCTTAGGCAGCCTGGTTACATCTCCCTCTTGGGGGGCTTACCATATAAACCGATATCAGATTTAGTGAGATGCCAATCAGTTTTAGCCCCACTGCAACTCAGAACATCCAAACTCAAGCTATCTATCATTCATTCTATGCCACTGTTGCCTTCCTTCCATCAAATGATGTATCATATCTGTTCATAAACAACAAAACACTTAGGCTGGTTGAGCATTTCTCCTTTCCCACCCACCTAGTTGTTGTTAATGAGTTTCCTTCTCTTTTGTTCTAATGCTATGCAATAAAGCACTGGAGTCAGGAACTTTGTCTCCTCTTCTTATATTTTCAATAATACAGTAAAAACCTACCACAATTTCAAAATATTGTAATAAAAATACTTCAAGTAGACTCAAACACACATAATATTAATAAAAAATATAACATGGAAATGGAATGGTATTTAATAGTTCCCCTACCATTTTCTTGGGCAAACCTAGAAGCTTCCAAGAAAGTAACTTCACGATCTGCATCCAGATCTTTTTTGTTCCCACAAAGTATTATGACAATATTTTGACTTGCTAGCATTCTTGCATCTGTCAACCAATTGGTAAGTGCATTATAGGTTTCTCGGCTGCAAAATGTAAGATCACAAAATTAAGATATGAAGTCCATAAAATATAATTTAATTTTAAATCAAGCATACTATTAAACATTTAAAAGACGCTATAGTTACTTAACATCCTTATCATAACAATATCCCCCAAACAATTAGTTAACCACAATAGGAATTTACAAAAACAAAAAGAAAAAAGAAAATCTGGTATGTTAATATTTTGTCATCACTAACTAGTTTTAATCACTGGGAAGAGAAGAAATAAGAAGTTGTGCATCTAAGGGTAAAATCTGGTTCATAGGTTACTAGACTTTTAAAGAAGGATTGGAAATTTAAGAAAAACTCAGAAGACCAAGCAAATTTTCATTATCAATTAATGCAACAGAGCCTTTTGGCATTAAGGATCTGATTTCTTTCCACTTCAATGCTTTTTTTTTTTTGCTAATATGTCATGTAAGTTCAGTGTGGGTCAAAAAATACCACATAAGTTATCAGTACTGATGTATGCTAAAAAAATTGACTTAATCATATTTAATTGTTTCCTTGTGAGTATAGTTTGGGCAGGTGTCATCAATCCTTTTGTTGCAGCACGCCTGACTCAGAAAGCAAACTGAGGGAAGTGAATGACAGAGCCCACTTCCTGGTAGCATTCAAGTACCTGGTCTGTTCTGTAAGCTCTCGAAACATTGATGGTGTTCACAAAGAAGGATATTTATTGTTAGCAAACTACTTATGAGGCCTAATGTGTCAATTTTTTGAACACTTATGGGAACCACAAAATAGTATATTAAGAAATGCATTAAATAATGTTCACTTTTTTCATCTAAAAGCACCTGTAATATGTACCTACAGATGTTTTATGAATAATAATTCAGAGAATACCATATGTACTGAAACAATGCTATATTTCATAGAAGGACACAGAAATACTGAAAGGTGATACAGGTTGCCAGAGACCACAGAGGAAGAGTCAAGTATATTTATTAAGCTCCAAATTATGCACATTGAAGTGAAAAAAATAAATTACAAATTTGTGAAACTAAAGATGCATGAATTTCAGACTATAGGAAGCAGACTATACTCTTTTCCTATAAGTAAATTTTGAATTACCTGGTAATGTCATAGACTAACAGAGCTCCTGCTGCACCTCTATAGTAACTTCTTGTCACAGACCTGAAAGAATTAGATTAGCTTTATTAACAGATTCAAACAGATTTTCACTACTGTTCTAAACAAGATATTTCCAAAGAAAGAGAAAAATGTATACCTTTTAGCTTTGTGAATTATAAATTATAAAGATATATAAGTACTTAGAAGCACTTATTTTTAACATTTCTAAGAGAGAACCAATGCATTTGCTATCAATATTGAGAGGGCAGCACGGTTAAATAGCATCCCTATTCTCTAGCTTATGAAACAGACACAGCTACTTTAAAGCAGCTAGATATATCAAGAAGCTACATATAGAGAAGCTCTTTGAAGACAGAAAAAGAGCTAGAATAATGCTTATCATGAAAAATGAGAAAGAAACCTTACTTTAATGAGGGAAAATTCTGGAAATAAAACCAATTCTTGAAACATCATAAAGTCCAAGAATTGTTAATAACCACCAAGATGTTTTTCTTGTTAAGAACAAACCATGCCAGACCAACTGAAATTCCTTCTAAAATGAGCAGAAGTCATTATACTTAGGCAGAAAGCAAGAAATATTAGTATCTTGACTTCAAGCAGAGACACATACTGTAGAGTATTTTCAAAATTTGGTTAGCCTTATAATGAGTAGTAATCAACTTAATCAGCTAAAATAAGACTCACTTCCATTCCTTTTCAAGAAATCTGTCCCATATCCACAAAGAAAGTGATTTTAATGTTGTTAATTTATAGCTGGAAAAGCTTAACTGCTCATATCATCAATGTTATGATAAGCCCAATGATTGATTCACTGCTCCGAATCAGTTTTCTGTATTCCTAGCTCTAGAGTGCCTGTGCAGTACAGAAGTTATAGCAATATGCAACCAAAATTATAAGCTTCGTTAATTCTATTTGGTAATAGCACCATTCTCATAGTTACTGAGGCCTGATACCTTAGAATTATCTGCAAATCTTTCCTCTCCTTCACATCCAATCAGTTTTCAAGTCCTATCATTTTGCTAGTGTAGACATTAAAGTAAAGCTGCTAGTGATTAAAATATTTGTAGTAGGTAGATCTGGCAAGTTAACTTGAATCAAGTGAAGAGCTGGATGTTGGGTGTGGTCATAGAATATGCACCACAAAAATATAATTTAGAATCTTGTAAACAGCCCTCAATCACCTAACTGCTAGGCTCCTAAGCCCCAAAAGAGGCAGGGGGTTTGGAACTTCTCCCACCTTTCATATACCATGGAGTCAGGCTGGCAGGCATTTAAGGTAGAGGGGGAAATTAAGAGTCTTTCCTACCCCTAAACTCTACAGTGCTACTACAGTAGAGAAGCCATAGAAAATGGAAGATGGTGGGAGGGTAGAAAAGAGTACCTTATTCAAAGGTTCTCTTAAAATAACCTCAGAGCTAGGACAATACAAAGCAGGCAAGACATTTTTCCCCATTGTCTTCTGCATGTCATAGGAAGCAAGTTATTTTTACAAGAAGAGAGAGAAAAGTTCCTTAGCTGTAATGGTAGTACTTTCTAAAAAAGAAAGGCACAAATTAAATCACGTTGCGGAGTATTGGCCATCTTCCCTCCACTAAAAGCTGTTTCTTGTTCCTGTCTTTCTTATTTTTGTTGGTGACACCATTTTCCCAGTCACCTAAGGCTGGAACCTTGGAGGTTATCTTGGACTCTACCTTCTCTGTCACATTCAATCAGTTGTCATTGTCTATTTTATCAGCATAATCTCTGTCATGTCTGTTCTCTCCTTTCTATTCACCTTGCCATCACTATTTAAAAGGCCCTCATTTCTCAATTGGCCTATTATAACAGCTTCCTAGGTGGTCTTTTTGATTCCAATCTCTTCACTCTCCAATCCATACTTAATACAACTGCCAAAATAATCTTTCATATCACACAAGTATCACCATTTTTCCTTCCTCAAAAATCTTCAGTGGTTCCTTAATACCTCTGGATTAAAATAAGCATTTCTTTTTCTGGCATTTAAGACCTGAAAAATATGGCTGGCTCCAAACTAGCTTAGCTTTCCATTTTTATTTCACTCTGTCTCTCCCCTTTTTCTCATCCTTAGTTGTTTCCTAATCTCAATCAGTCTTATCTTGTCTCAGTACATGCCAGCTGACTATCTCTTATGCCTGGAATGTACTCCCATTACTTCTCTGCCTACTGAAATTGTACTCTTCCTTCAAGGCCCAGCTTCTCTACAAGTGCTATCTTCTCTACAAAGTCTTCCACCAATCAAAGTCTTCCACCAATCAAAGCCGTCCACCAATTACTCCAGATGAAAGTTATCTTACCTCCCTCTTCTCAAATTTTCTTATAGCTCTTTGTATGAAATTTTACTTGTAAGTCTAGTTTTGACTATGTGACTACTAAATGATTATGTACAAGTGGTTGGCTAGCCATATCAATAGGTTCCAATGCAGGAAAGTAAACTGAGTATTTGATAAATATCTTTCTAACATTTAGTTCCATATGACATTTTTAACTGATACATTAAATATTAAACTTGTGAAGGATATTAGTTTAGAATGTCTGGTTAGTTATTTTTATATGATAAAATACAAAAAAAGATTTTGGCATGTTGAAGAAATGGTAACATATTATTAAGTTCAACAGGGACAAATGACACAGTGCACTTAAAATATGCAATATGTTAATAAACTACTAATATAAATAATTAGTAAGCCAAAAAAAGGAAATGCCAGAAAAGATACCTTTGGTATACTTTTAAGTAGGGGAAAATACATTAATGTCCTAGAAATACAGGAATAGCATATGCTGAAATTAGATGGCACAAGGAATGATGGATGAACACCTTCAACATCAAAAAACTCTTCTTTCAATTACTAAAATGATTTTCATTAAAGAAATAATTCCATAATATGTAGTTGACAATCCTGCAGTATATTACGGCAAGAATGTAGGCCCCCAGGATGGCATATTCTAATGCATTAATGATTTTTGGAAAAAGACCCTTTGGATGATCATGTTTTTCATCCACTTTGTTTTACCAAATATATTAGTTGTATCCTTGATTAAAATCATTTGACCTGTATTAAAAGATTTATCTTGGAAATACTTTAGAAAACTTCCATTTCTGTGTTATTTATTTAGCTAAAAGTAAATGGTATTACTTTGAAATACCATGTCTCAATTTCAGCAATCCAACTTTGGCTATTTGGTAGGCTGTAATTATTTAGGAATAATATATTTGGTATTTAAATATTGTACTGAATTTGACAGTCTTTTTAAAAAAGCTTACTTAACACTCCAAGGTTCTATGATTTCATTGGTGTGGATTATCCCCTTCACTAGTGATGGCTGAAACTCAACTACAACTTGATACTCTTTTTTTTTTTATCTTTTTTTTTCTTTTTTTTAGTGAGGCAATCAGGGTTAAGTGACTTGCCCAGGGTCACACAGCTAGTAAGCGTCAAGTGTTTGGTTCTGAGGCCACATTTGAACTCGGGTCCTCCTGACTTCAAGTCCGGTGGTCTATCCACTGTGCCACCTAGCTGCCCCTTCAACTACAACTTAATAGGTGGTCTTTAAGAGTGGCTGTGACTGAAAAATTCATCACTCAGGAGATAAGTCATTCCATCATAGCTAAGCTGATACTCAAACAGTAGAGATATAGCCCACCACTGAATATTTTATTAATGAATCTGTACTCAAAAGTTTCTCAGCTTGGTAGCATGTGACAGAACTTATATTTTACTTTACTAACTTATCTTTACTAACTTATCTTTAAGAATGAAAGTCATCTCATGCCATGATGAAGCATTAGAATAGGACTTTAGTGGAGGTTAAAAAAAAAAACCTCATAGACTTAGTATATAAAACTTAGACACTTCAGAATATTGGCCTTGGTTAAATATGATTTATAGTTTTGTTTAATAAAATTAAAAATTAGCTTGAATGTTCACAGTGATTTGTAAAATTTTCTGGCTCAACAGTTGTTGAAAATATAAAGCAAATGGTCTCAATATTGGCAACCCACCATTCCCAAGTCTGACTTGTACAGGATACTACATTCATATTTTGAGAAGAAAGGGAGTAAGAAAACAATGAATCTAATGAAAAGGAAGAAAGGATTAATTCTAAAAACAAACAAAATATTTTTATTTGAATCGGAAAAACAATAACTGCACATACATAACCTATTATCAAATTGCTTACCATTTTAGGAAGATGGGTGGGGAGGGAGGAAGAAAAATTTGGAACTCAATATTTTGTAAAAATGAATGCTAAAAATTGTTGTTTTATATATAATTGGAAAAATAAAACACTATTTTAAAAAAAGAAAAGTAATAACATGGAACAGTACAGAAAGGGCTGAACTGAGAGTCAAAGGATCTGGATTCAAAATCCCAGCTCTCACATTTATTAACCATGGACCTTGGGCAAGTCTCTTCTCCTCTCTGGGCCTCAGTTTTTTTATCTATAAAATGAGGAGTTTTGGGGAGGTAGGTGGCACAGTGGATAGAGCCCTGGAGTCAGGAGGAGCTGAGTTCAAATCTGGTCTCAGACACATAACACTCATTAGCTGTGTGATGCTGGGCAAGTCACTTAACCTCAATTGCCTCACCAAAAAAACCAAAAAACAAAAACCAAAAAACAGAGGGGTTTGAACTAGATGATCTCTAAGGTCCTTCTATCTCTAAACATTTATAATTCTCTACTAAGAAAAACCTTCCATAATAAACATTTTATATGTAATTCCATGTAATTATTTTTCCTAATATGTGTATATATCTTATCCCTTTTTTTTATAGAGGTTTCATTTTAGGGGGAATATCCTATATGCCTTATATGCAGCTAGATGGCACAGTGGATAGAGTGCTGGGCCTGGAGTCAGGAAGACTCATCTTCCTGTGTTCAAATCTGGCCTCAGACACTTACTAGCTGTGCAACCCTGGGCAAGTCACTCAACCCTGTTTGCCTCAATTTCTCATCCTCATCTAAAATGAGCTAGAGAAGGAAATAGCAAACCATTCCAGTATCTTTGCCAAGAAAACCTCAAATGGGGTCACGAAGAGTCAGATATGACTGAAATAACTAAACAAAAAAAATCTTATATCTGGACCGATGTTCTATATAACAATCCACTTTTCCACATTAATATAGTATAATGAACATAATTTAATCTTTGATGATTTTAGATCTTACAGTTTCCTAAGGTTAGGTCAACATTATAAATATGAATTATAATTATACAATACCATAAATGTAGAGAGTTTAGGGTATTTTATGGAATAACGACTCTAATACATACCCTGAGAAAAAGGGAATTTTTACTAAACTTGAGATTTGACTCTTTATCTTAAAAAAAGAGTTAAGGAAAAAATAGGTTGAATTTATAGGGGGGAAAAAGCAATGTATCCATCTTTATGTAAAATTAGGATGAAAGAGATTCTTCCAGTAAATAAAATATTCCCTAGGAATGAGTTAGGTGCTTTCAGTAGTGCATTCATTTTCATACCACTAATAGATCCTTTAGTAAATCCTTTAGTAAATCATTGTTATAGGAAACAAAATTGAATTTCTGCAGCTTTTTTTTTTTAAGTTAAAGGAGTTCCCTACGGTGGAAATTTGTAAATTTACTCCAAGAAAGTTAACTATGCATTGAAAGAATACAGCTGATTACAAGAGTAGATTTGTGAGAGACTGGAGAAGGAAAAGTAATGGCTTTAATTCTAACAAGAAACATTTTAAATAAAATTTTAAAATACCTGAATCGTTCTTGTCCTGCTGTATCCCATATCTGTAATTTTACATATTTACCACCTACATTTATTATCTTTGAACCAAACTCCACACCTATAGTGTGATTTGAATCATCTTTGACTGAAAAAAGAGAACAAAGACAAAAAATTTTAAATTTTAGGACATTTAGAAAACACACTTTGCAGGTTTCACAAAACAAGGAAACATTCTATATTATTTCACTAAGTTCATTCCATGTACAGAAAATTGTTCTTACTTATTCATTATTCTCAAAATAAGTTCTGCCCCCACATTTTACGTTAAGTATCCAAAATCAAGCAGTAGACTGTAATAAAATTTGAATATGTGTGGCCTACTGATAAAGTTAAACAACAATCAATAAAATGTATTGACTTTGTGCTATGCTTTAAAAAAGACTACATAATTTGTATCTTCAAAGATTTGATATATATTTTCCTTAACATTATTTCGACCAAAGTGACTAATCAAATGTTACCAAGTCTAGGTTTTGAGGTGGCTGGCTCTCATCCAATTCTTTATCTACCGAACAAATTATTCAGATATTCTCAAACTGTGAACACATGTGTGAATAAACAAGATGTGACACCTTGCAAAGGTACTTTTAAACCTTCCCTGTAGATCTGAGATCTGAGAATAATCCATATTCAGGTGATAGCTGAAGTGACATGACTAGTAATTGTTCTGAAATTAGTATAGAAGGAGAAACTGGATGTCCCATGACTGAATCTTGAGGGACTCCTAAAATTAATGGGATAAGAAGAAAAAAGAGAGCCACCCTGAGACGGTTATTTGGTTTTCAGGGGAATTTGTAGTAAAGTGGGAAACCTTGGGTATACTCACTGGAGTGCCATTGTTTTCTGTTATTTTTTTTTTAAAGTGGCAGGGTCAAGTAAAAAGTCTCTAATATAATTTTCAAAGTCATTTGTCAAAGTATCTAAACCAACTATAATGTTGTAGCCTACAACTTCTATTTATCTTAAAAAACAGAACCTAATTTATTAATACATGCCATCTCTTTCTTTAAGTTATTGGCAAATTTTTTACCAAAGATATTACATCTTTACCTATATACTCAAGATTCCAATCTCCTAAAATTCCACCTCTTCTACAAAACCTGGCCAGATAGGGCCAATATACAATATGGTTTCCTCTAGCCTCTCTCCCACATCTATTTATCTCAATTCAACTCTAAAATGTAGTTATCTATAGCACATATGAAATATAAATTCTTTATTACATAGTCAACATAATTAATATTGGCTTATGATACTTCACTATAAAACTGTAACATTTACTTTGGAAGCCCTCAACCAAATGTCATAACAAATATTATAAATCAAATTTCTTCTTTCATGCAATTCAAAAGAAAAAGAAAACAAAATCTCTTTTAGATCACAGCTATGGTTCCAGGAAAATATTTTAAAAGTTCTATTATGAATAGATATGAATAAAATAGTAGTCAGAAAACAGTATATATGTAACACACCTACACACACACATACATGAAAAAGTGACATATAGATAATAACTTACATTTCTTTTCAATAAACTGATGAAGTAAGCACGATTTGCCAGTTCCTGCATTTCCAATTACCAGGAACTTAAATAAAAAATCTAAAAGATAAAAAGGATGACATGAAAAAATTATTTTAAAGCAACAATTATCAATTTGTTCTTGGACTATGGTTATATAGTATGAAATCAAATGAAAAGGGGTAAATGTGAATGAAGTTTAATTCTAGCTTTCTTTACCCTAAACATTGTGAAAAATGATTAAATTTGAATGAAATTTCATGAATACAGCATGCAAGATGACTTTTTTTTGGTATACCACATTATTTGTTAACTTTATAGACTACCAGTAAGGCTGGCAACTGAAAAGTTTCCAGATAAACCCACTTCTGTCTAAAACCACCCCCAAAACAATAAGAAAGGCCCCATATGAAACAAAAAATCAACAAAAGAAGTTAACAAAGAATCCATAATAATATAATTTATCATGAAAAACAAAAAAAAGTCAAAATGATGCAAGACCACTCTACTGGCCAGGCAGGGATCAGTGCCCAACCCTACACTGTTAAATTTATATCTCTTTTTGTTTTTTATTTTTGGTGAGGCAATTGAGGTTAAGTGACTTGCCCGGGGTCACACGGCTAGTAAGTGTTAAGTGTCTGAGGCTGGATTTGAACTCAGGTCCTCCTGACTCCAGGGCTTGTGCTGTATCCACTATGCCACCTAGCTGCCCCAATTTACATCTCTTAAAAGACAAATCTAACTTGGTTTGCCCTCTACTCAAAAATTTTCGGTAGTTCCCTATCTCTAGGAAAAAATATACAATATTCAGCGTGCCTTCTACAGCTCTTTAAAATCTGGTTCATACCATTTCTAGTTTCAATTCATATTACTTTTCTTCACCCATTCTCCATTCCTGCCAAATTGGCTTGATAGCTGTTGCCCTCCCCTCTAACATTCCATAGCCCAGGGGTGGGGAACCTGTAGCCTTGAGGCCACATGTGGTCTGCTAGGTCCTTGAGTATGTCCCTTTGACTGAATCCAAACTTCACAGAAGAAACCTGCTCTGTGAAGTGTGGATTTAGTCAAAGGGCTGCACTTGAAGACCTATAGGGCCACATGGCCTCTGCCACCCCTGCCATAGCCTATCTGCATGCCTTTGCACAGATGATACCCCATGTCTGGAATGTATCTCCTCCTCACCTCCACTTCTTAGTATCACTAACTTCCATTAAAGCAAAACTCATGTCACTGCTTACATGAAGCCTTTCCTGATCCTTCTAGTTGTTAATGCTCTCTCCTTTAAATTTCTTTATAGAACTTAGCATATACTTTGTAATTACTTATTTGTGAACATGCATGTAATATATGCATACAATACAATGTAAGTTCTTTGGAGTGACCAAACCTCCTGGAATTTGTGAGAGAGAAAAGGAAGTCTGGTTATAGTCTGATACTCACCCTGAACTTTGGAAAAGCATATTATAAAGGAAAGTTCAGAGGAAAGATATATAAGAGCTAATGATCAAAGTAGGAGGAAGTCAGCACAAGAGGACTGGTAGATAAAATTAAGAAGAAACAACCGAAATTAATTCCAGTGGGCAGGAAAAACGAGATTTGTCTGAAAAGAACAATGTGGACACACACGGAACTTACCAATTTACTCAGATTTTTAAAAAGAAGTATACAGAAGACAGAAGGCAAGCTGGGTGACAAGAGTGATAAAGAGTGTGGAAGAGGATTCTGGGAAGATGGTGGAGTAGGTCAGAAAACTCCAGACTCTCCACATTTCCTCCACACACACACAAAAAAACCCAAAACAGAACACTGCCTCAAAGTGAACATAGAGTGGCAGAAATAAAGTAGGGGTAAAGCAGTTGTCCTCCTAAGAGAACCTCAGAACCTCCAGTGGTGGAGGTTTGACCTGAGTGAAGTGCAAATACCTCCAGGCAGACTCCACTAAATCAACAAACAACAAGCCCTGGGGGCATCTGGGTTAGGCTACAGCCCTGGCCTCAGGAACTCTCATCTCACAGACAGTGTGGGGGTCCTACCCTAAGGGTAGGGGAAGACTGAAGGACCCTCTGCTGTATCAGGATGCCAGGTCCAGCTGTACTGAACAGATACCCCAGGCTGTGGGCAAGAAGGAACAAGCACATGTCCAGTGAGTGCAGGGTTGGCTGTGGGCACTGGCAGGAGAGCAGAAGGGAGAGCTGAAGTTTGGAGGGACCAGACAACAAGAGCATTTTCAAGACAGTATGTTTGGGGGCCCCAACCTGTGGCTTAGGGGTGGAGAGAAGTACCTCTGGTTGGGCCCCTAGAACAGAGCTCAGAAAATAACAGCAAGAAGGAACCGAGACCTGGGGTACCATTCTCCACACCTCACAACTACAGTCCAATTACAATAATAAGCTGTTAAAATGAAAATAAACAAAATAAAAAATAAAAGTGAGTAGGCAAAGGAGAAAGAACCCGACCACAGACTGCTACTATGGGCATAGAGAAGATCTGGGTTCATATTCAGAGGAAGATAGTGAAGTTAAAAAAGCCACTCCCACTTCAAAGAGAAATATCAAACGGTTACAAGCTCAAAAAGAGTTCTTGGAAGAACTTTAAAAGTATTTCAAAAATCAAATAAGAGAGATTGAGGTAAAATTAGGGAAAAACATAAGAGCAATCCAGGAAAAGTATGAAAAGAAAGTCAACCAATTGGAAAAAGAGATCCAAAAACTTAAGAAAGAAAATAAATCTTTGAAAACTAGAATTGGGCATGGGGAAGCTAATGACATTACAAGACACCAAGAAACAATAAAACAAAATCAAAAGAATGAAAAAATAGAAGAGGACGTAAAAGATATTAGAAAAACAACTGATCTGGAGAACAGATGGAGGAGAGACAATATAAAAACTATTAGACTACCTAAAAGTTACAATCAAAATAAGTCTTCATACAATATTACAAGAAACTATTAAAGAAAACTGCCCTGAAGTTTCAGAATTAGAGGGTAAAGTAGAAATAGAAAAACTCCAAGGATCACTACCTGAAAGAGATCCCAAGATGAAAACTTATGGGAATATTATAGCCAAGTTTCAAAGCTCCCAGGTTAAGGAGAAAATACTGCAAGCAACAAGGAAAAAAAAATTTAAATACCAAGGAACTACAATCAGGATCATACAGGACCTAATAGTTTGCTTTCACATTAAAAGACCGCAGGTCCTAGAACAAAATATTTTGAAGTACAAAAGGACTGGGGTTGTGACCAAAAATAACTTACTCAGCAAAGTTGAGTATAATTCTGAATGAGAAAAAAAATGGATATTTAATGAACTGAGAGACTTTCAAGTATTTGTGACAAAAAAACCAGAACTCAATGGAAAATTCAATATATAAGACACAGAAGAAACATGAGAGAAACATTAAAGACCTACTATAAGAGACTAAATAAGGTCAAACTGTTTACTTCTTATATGTAAAAATGTTATCAGGACTCTTAAGACTGTCACTACTAGAGTAGTTTGAAAAAAGACGGGCTGAGCTGAGTATGATGGGTTGATTCTAAAAAAGAAAACTGGGTAGGAAGAGGTAAAAAGGAGCAATTACCTCATACAAATGAGGAAAGAAAGAACTGATACAAAAGAAGCAAGTAGGGGTGGAGGGCTGGTAGTGCTGGAACCTTACTCTCACAGGTTTTAACTGGGTTAAAGAGGGAACAATATATACATATAGAAGGGTATAAAAGTCTTCTGAATTTATAAAGAAAAAAGAGGGCAAGGGAATAGGATAAGGGAGGAACTTTTAGGTGGGTGTATAGATTAAGAATTGGGGGGGTTTGGGAAAGAAGATAAGGGAGAGACTCTTAGAGTGATAGGTAGATTAAAGTAGAGGTTGGGGAGGATAGGATAAGGGATGGGTTCTTTTAGGAGTAGCGAGGATTAAGGAATAGGAGGGCAAAGTAGTGGTTAAAAGTAAATAGTAAGTAAATAGAAGTAAAGAGTGAGATGGGATAGGGTAAATAGGGTAAGAAGGATAAATAGCGAGGAAAAATAGGATGGAGGGAAATACACAGCTAGTAATTATAATTTTGAATGTGAATGGGATGAATTTACTCATAAAATGGAAATGGATAATAGAATGGATTAAAAATCTGAATTCAACAATATGCTGAAACACACTTTTTAAAAAATGAGAGATACACACAGAGTTAAAATAAAGGGCTGGAGCAGAATTTATTATGCTTCAGCTGATGTAAAAAAAATCAAGAGTAGCAATCAAGATCTCTGACAAAGTTAATTAATATCTTTAATCAAAAGAGATAAACAGGAAATTACACTATGTATCACTAATATTATTCAATATTGTTTTAGAAATTCTAGCAATAGCAATAAGAGAAGAAAACGAAATGGAAGGAATTGAGAGAAATGAGGTAATAAACTATCTCTTTTTTGCAGACATATGATGATATATTTGGATATCCTAAAGATTCAGTAAAAAAGTTAGTTGAAACAATAATTTTAGCAAAGTAGAAGGATGTAAAATATACCCACATAAGTCATCAGCTTCTCTATATATCACCAACAAAACCCTGTAAGAAGAGATAGTGAGAGATACCCCATTTAAAATAACTAGCTAATACAACATGTCTGAGAGTATATCTGCCAAAACAAACCCAAGAACTACATGAACATAATAATTATAAACACTCTCAATATAAAGGATATGAACAGGCAGTTTTTTGATGAAGAAATCAAAACTACATATAGTTATATAAAAAAGGGTTTTAAAGCTGTGTTGAGAAGGGAAAAAGGACCAATGAAGAGACTTCTGCTTGGAATGGATGGGATAATGAGGACTGGAGAGAAGGGGAAGGCAAGGTTCCTTCTTTCTTTTCTCTTTTTCTCTGTTGAATTGGAAATGACAGCACAGAAATGACTAATGGGGAGCTGATTCTCAAGATAAGGAGATACAGTACTAGTTGGTTGCTCTTGATGAATTCAAGTCACCTGGTCCACATGAACTATATCCTTGGACACTAAAATGAAAGAACTGACAGACATGATTACTGATTCACTTTCAGTAATTAAAAGATCACAGAAATCAGGAG